TATTTTTCTTCAGAGCATTTATCATCATCAGAAATGAGTTTATTTATTCATTTGTCTATTTTTCTGTACTAGAATGTAAAGTCCATGAGAATAGAGATCTTTCCTGATTCTCTCTCTGTCTATAGTACTTAGAACACTGCCTTTCACATAGTAGGTCCTAAGTATATAATTTATATGTGGTTGATTGGAAGGATGAAAAATGAAAGTATGTCTAATGTATGATTTGTAGAAATAGTTGATATGCTAATATGTATTGTAAATTGTCAAGAAAGGAATACAGTGAATAACTTTACCCAAATTTATTTCACCATAGAACTACTTTTTTATCATTTAGCTGTATTAGAGTTCCACAGAAGGCATTTTTTAAATGTGATAGGGCCATTGATACATTTAACTTTTTTCATTTATTTTGTAATACTTTTAAACTTATAAATAAGTTGCAAGGATAGTACAGGTAATTTTTTTTTCTGAATCATTTGAGAGTAAATTGCTGACATTACCTCTAAATACTTTAGAGCATATTTTCTATAAATAAGACATTCTCCATATAACCAGGGTAGAATAATAAAAACAAGGAATTCAACATTGATAGATTGATACTGTCTAATATACAATCCATAAAAGTTATGCTAGTTGTTCTGGAATTCAATAGTGGAAATCCCCAGAAAAGAGGGAGCCTCAAAATCTGCATATATATTTTCTTTTCAGTTCCTTGGCTGACTCCTAGCTCCACATGTATAGAAGAAATTCCGCAAAGCCTAGAGTGTAATATAACAGCTGCAGTAGGAAGTTATCAAGCTGATATTTCTGATCAAGTTTGGAACTTAAGTTCTACCAAGTTAGGGGGGGTTTTAAACACATCAGGGTTTCCATTGAAATCTCAGAACAGTTCTGCCTTAGGAGTAAAGACCATGTCCGAGGCCTAAGGGATTTGTTTTAGGACTAAGGGCAAAACTGAAATCTACCATCCCTAACAAAGTATAAAGCGAAGTATCCACAAGTTCAAGATGATCAGCCAATATTTTTAATGCTTATTAGAATAGAAATCAACATTTTTCAAAGGAAGATAACAAAATCTAGATCATCTACAGTAAGTCATCCATATTGTCCAGTGTTCAATAAAAAATTATTAAACATGTGAAGGAAAAGAAAAAGATTACCTATAGTTAAGAGTAGCAGGAGTCAGTCCAGATGTTGGAGTCAGCAAACAATAACTTTAAATCAGCTATTTATAAATATGGTGAAGAAAGGAAAAGAGACTAATAAATTAAAATATAGAATATCTTTATAGAAGGAGGTAGAGAGTATTAAAAAAAGAAAAAAACTAGAAATTGTAGAAAATATAATAACTGAAATGAAAAGTTCGCTGGATATATTTAATAGCAGATGACAGATGGCAAAAGAAAGGGCCAATGAACTTGATGACATATCAATAGAGATTATTCTACCTAAAGAACAAAGAGAAAAAAGATTTTTAAAACGAAGATCCTCTTTTTAAAAGATCTGTTTTTAAGAAACAGATCCTCAGTGTCCAGTGGGATAACAATCAGTCAAACTTATGTATATTGGAATCCCAGAGGAGTAAGCAGTTAAACTTGTATATATTGGAATCCAAGAATAGGAAAGAGAAAATGAAGATGAGAAAAAACATTTTTTAAGAGATTAGAGCTAAAAATTTCTCAAATTTGGCAAAAACCTAAGCTCAAGCAACTCAAAGCACAAGAACAGCAACATTGACCAGTGGAACAGAACAGAGAACCCAGATATAAAACCATCCTCATATAGCTATCTAATCTTTTATAAAGCAAACAAAAATATACACTGGGGAAAAGAATCCTTATTCAATAAATGGTGCTGGGAAAACTGGATAACCACATGTAGAAGACTGAAACAGTATCCACACCTTTCACCTCTCACAAAAATCAACTCACACTGGGTAACAGACTTGAACCTTAGGTGTGAAATTATTAGAATTCTAGAGGAAAACGTTGGAAATACTCTTCTAGACATTGGCCTAGGCAAAGAATTTATAAAGAAGACCCCAAGGGCAATCACAGCATCAACAAAAATAAATAAATGAGACCTGATCAAATTATAGAGCTTCTGCACAGCCAAAGAAACTATCAAGAGAGCAAACAGACAACTTACAGAATGGGAGAAAATTTTTGCAAGCTATATATCCGATAAAGGGCTGATAACTAGAACCTGTTTAGAACTCAGGAAAATCAGCAAGGAAAAATCAAACAACCTTATCAGAAAGTGGTCAAAGGACATGAACAGAAACTTCCCAAAAGAAGACAGAATAATGGCCAACAAACATATGAAAAAATGTTCAACATCTCTAATAATCAGGGAAATGCAAATCAAAACTACAATGAAGTATCACTTATCTCCAGTGAGAATGGCTTTTATTAACAAGTCTCAAAACAATAGATGTTGGCGTGGATGTGGAGAGATAAGAACACTCATACAGTGCTAGTGGGACTGCAAACTAGTACAACCTTTGTGGAAAGCAATATGAAGATACCTTAAAGCAATACAAGTGAATCTACCATTTGATCCAGCAATCCCATTACTGGGCATCTACCCAGAAGAACAAAAGTCACTCTATGAAACAGACACCTGCACTCGAATGTTTATAGCAGCACAATTCACAATTGCAAAGATGTGGAAACAGCTGAAGTTCCCATCAATACATGAGTGGATTAATAAAATGTGGTATATGTAGACCATGGAGTACTATTCAGCTATAAGAAAAAACAGTGATATAGCACCTCTTGTATTTTCCTGGCTAGAGGTGGAACCCATTCTATTAAGTGAAGTATCCCAAGAATGGAAAAATAAGCACCACATGTACTCACCAGCAAATTGGTATTAACTGATCAACACCTAAGTGGATATATAGGAATAACATTTATCAGGAGTCGGGCAGGTGTGTGAGGGAGGGGATGGGTATATACATACATAATGAGGAGGATGGCACCAACTAGGGGATGGGCACGCTTGAAGCTCTGACTCGAGGGGGGACCGGGGGCAAGGGCAGTATATGTAACTTTAACATTTGTACGCCATAATATGCTGAATAAATAAATAAATAAAAAGGAAACTCAGTGAATTCCAAGCAGAATAAATACAAAAAGACTAAACCTAGACATAATAGTCATACTACTAAAGACCAAAGATGAAGAGAAAATCTTGAGAATAGCCAGAAAACAAGAGATATAAACACTGGATAATAATAATGACAGCTGACTTATCAGAATAATAGAAGACAAAAAACTATGGAATGGTATCTTTAAAGAGTTGTAAGAAAGAAAAAACAAACAACTTTCAAGTCAATTCTGTATCTAATGAAAATATCATTCAAAAATGATGGTAAAATAAAGATAATTTCAGATAAACAAAAACTTAGATTATTCATTATCAACAAATGTACAGTATCAGAAATACTAAGAGTTTATACAAACTCTTAGTTTGTACAAACTCTTAGTATTGTAAGCTGAAGGGCAATAATATCAGATAGAAACTCTACAGGAAGAAATTAAAACCACCAAGAGTGATAAATTTAAAAGGTTTTTCCTTCTGTTATTTTATTTAAAAGAAAGCTGGCTTTTTAAAGCAAAAGTCAAGCCATTTTATTCTGTGGTTTTATGACATATGTAGAGGTATAATATATGATCACATTAGCATAAAGGATATTAGAGTAAATGAGATTACAGTCATCCCTCTGTGTCCACGGAGAATTGGTTCCAGAAGCCCCTGTGGATGCCAAAAACATGGATGCTCAAGTTCCTTAAACAGAATATCATAGTATTTGCATATAACCTATGTATATATCTTCCTGTATGTGGTACTTTAAGTCATCTCTAGGTTACTTATAATATCTAATGCAATGTAAATGCTATATAAATAGTTGTTATATTATTTTTTGTTTTGGTTTTTGAATATTTTTGATCTGCAGTTGATTGAACCTGCAGATGTTGAACCTATGGATGCAGAACCCACAGATAAGGAAGGCCAACTGTATATCATTGCAAAGTTCTTATGCTTTCCATGGTATTTTATGTTAACTTTAGACACATTGTGATAATTTGAGGATGCATATTGTAATCCTTAGCATGTCACCGTCTCCCCCTACAAAGAGGGAGAGAACAATTAAAATAGAACAATTAAAATAAAGTATTGGTAAATATTTAACTGAAATTAAGGGATGAAAATGTGGAACAGGTGCAAAAAAAATAGCAGCAGACAACAACAGAAATAGAAAACAAACAGAAAAATGATTGTTTTGAACCAAATCATTTCAGTAATTACATTAAAAATAAATGGACTAGATTATTCAATTAAGAATCAGAGATTTTCAGACTGGATAGAAATACAAGACCCAACTCTTATCTTGTCTACATATTGCACATTTAAAATGTGGAGATTTAATTAAACATAAAAGTAATCACATTTATCTTGTTTCTATTTAACTTTTCTAGTTGTTGTCATTGTGTTTGGTGTTATAGAGAAATAAAACCAAATAATAAATATATCTCATAGTTGAACCTTAAGTGCAAGTGGCTGATAAAATATTTCTTTGGAGATACTGCTTTTAATATTTCACAGAGGTTATACCAAAGTTATACATTGTGCCTTTCAAAATTACATCTTTATAAAGGTGAAGAAGAGGTTAATGATTTCTCATTCAATTAATATCCATACACTTCTAGTAAAATAAGTCAAATGGAGACTTAGAAAATCTCAAGTGCGTCAGTGCTTGCTTGATTCTATAAGTTACTTGGTTCTTAGGTATGCCATGTGGAGGTCTTGAGTATGTGAGGTTCTATCTGTGTCTCCACCTAAGTAAGAAAGTTATTCTTTAAATAAGTTAGATGAATTATAACTGGTGAGTGATAGTGATATTAGAAATACCCAGAGGAAGGAAGATGTCCTATATATTTGAAGCTAGATTACTCTCCAGGTTAGCTCTATTTTTTTTTTTTCTTCTCTTGCAGTAAACATCACCATCTTCAAAAAATAAGTTAAGGAATGAGAGGCAACGAAGAAAGGATATTCATCTTGGAAAGATTCATCTTAAAAGAACATAATGCTAACTGCTAAAACCACCTTTGTTCTGGAGTTCTTCAGATTTAAATGGTAACCAGAATTCTATCATGTTACATTTCCACCAAGAATTTTACTTGAAAGGATTGACTTGGAAGGATTTCTTTTTAAGTTTAAATGTTTACCTTGTAAATGCCAAACTATAGATAACTGATAATTTTATAACCTTCTTAGCATAATCAGGCTTTGGTATTTAATGATTTCTCAAAGAATTACTTATTCCCCCAGTTATAAACTTCTTAGTTTAGAAACATAAGCTTATTTGAGAAAGAATATGGCATAAACTAGTATATTTATAGGTCCATCCTTTACCAAATATTTTTTTCTTTCATAGAAATAATCTAAGCAATGTAAGTAGTAGTTTCTATCACATATACAAAGGTTTTTTGGTCTTATTTTCTGAAATTTATTTATTTATTTATTTATTTATTTTTATTTTCCTTACTTGACATCTGGTATCTTGCTCTTTCCCCTTTTATATCTGACATCTTACTTTTATTTAATGTTTATTTTTTCCTTTGCCTCTTTTTCTCTCTACCTTTAAAAAAGTTATCTTGCAGAAATTGAGAGTTATAAAAGGCACAAGGATCCAAAATAGAAAAGGAGAGAGAAATTTGAAGATTGTAAAATTTTTCTTCTTGTGAAATTGCAAGGAATGTTAGATTAGAGTGGAAAGCAATTATATAAAGTCTTAAGATTCTTTATCAGTGTTCTTAAATCTTGATCTCAGGCCAAAATTATTTCAATGCATGATTTGTAAAGATTTAAATATTTGCAAATTTTTTGTCATTCCTGTGAACAATTATAACTTGTATTCATTGGATGTCTGTCTACTAATTTGATTTTGAAGGATAATCATTTGTTAGATTGAGTTACTATGTCTTGGTAGTGAATGAGTATAATTGACTAAAACTAGTTCCTTGCTGTAAAATGCCATAGATATGATAAGTCAGTCAAATACAGTATCATATACTAATCCTAATAATTCTAAGGAACATATGTCCTGTTTCAAGGTAATGATTCAAGTTGGTAAATACAACCTAGAATAAATCGTATACCAAAGAATGCTCTAATTACTTTTCCCAGTGCTAACATTAACCTTTACAAGAAAAAAATCTTCACAGTGATTTTTTTTTTTAATTCTCCAATTGTGGGTTAAACCTATCCTTGCAGCATTATTGGAACTTTTCTGTGACCTTGTCACTGACAGCCATTTAGCCACATTTATCCCCTTTTAAATGCCCAGGAAATTCTTTCTTGTTCTCAAACATTTAAAAAAATCAAAAAGTTGAGGAAACCAGCTTGCTTGCTTTCTCTCTTTCTTTTTCTCTCTCTTTCTTCCTTCCTTTCTTTCTTTCTCTCTCTCTTTCTTTCTTTTTTTCCTTTTATTTCATTGTATTTTGGGGGTTCAAATATTGTTGGGGTTACATATATTGCCCCTGCCACCCCTCCCGCCCACCATGCCAGAGCTTCAAGCGTGTCCAACCCCCAGGTGGTACGCACCACACCCATTATGTAAGTATACGCCCTTCCCACTTCCCCCCTCTCATCTCTCCACCACCTGATAAAAATTGTGGGTTTTTTTGACATTTTGGTTACATTGTATATCTTTGCCTCTCCCTAAGAAGTCTTAGAGGTATTCCCTTCCCCCCACATAATGCTCGCCACATCCCTAAGATGTGGGTCTCCCCCCCAAATTCCTGGTGAACACTACCACCATTTGAACACCATAGTTTTAATCAGTCAGTACCAATTTGATGGTGAGTAGATGTGTAGCCCATTTTCCAGATCTTGTGTTGCCTATACTTAACGGGCTTAAGCTTAACCCAGGATAGCATAAATGGTACTAGCTCACTGTTGTTTCTTAGAATTGAGTAATATTTCATTGTGAGCATATACCAAATTTTAATTATCCACTCATGAATTGACGGGCACTTGGGTTGTTTCCATGACCATGCAATAGTGAATTGTGCTGCCATAAACATCCAGGTGCAGATGTCTTTGTAATAGAATGTCTTATACACTTTTGGGTAGATGCCCAACAATGCTATTGCTGGGTCGAATGGTATTTCTATTTCTAGCTGTTTGAGGTATCTCCAAATTCTTTTCCACAAAGGTTGCACTAATTTGCAGTCCCACCAGCAGTGTAGGAGTGTTCCTGTCCCTCTGCATCCTCGCCAGCATTTGTTGTTTAGGGTTTTCTTGATACAGGCCATTCTCACTGGGGTTAGGTGGTATCTCACTGTGGTTTTGATTTGCATTTCTCTAATGATTAGAGATGTTGAGCAGTTTTTTATATGTTTGCAGGCCATTATTCTGTCTTCTTTGGAGAAGTTTCTGTTCATTTCTGTTGCCCATTTCTTCATGGGGTTGTTTGATTTCTTCTTGTTAATTCTTTTAAATTCTAGATAGATTCTTGTCATTAGACCTTTATCAGAAGTGTAGAGAGCATATCTTTTCTCCCACTCTGTGGGTTTTCTGTTTGCTCTAATGATAGTTTCCTTGGCTATGCAGAAACGTTAATTTGATCAGATCCCATTTGTTTATTTTTGATGCTGTGGCAATTGCCTTGGGGGTCTTTTTCAAAAATTCTTTGCCTAGACCAGTGTCTGATAGGGTTTTCCCAACATCTTCTTCTAGGATTCTTAAGGTTGCATGCCTTAGGTTTAAGTCTGTTATCTATCTTGAGTGAATTTTTGTGAGAGGTAAGAGGTAGGGATCCTGATTCGCTCTTCTGCATGTAGCTAACCAGTTTTCTCAGCACTATTTATTGAAGAGAGATTCTTTTCCCCATTGTATATTTTTGTCTGCTTTATAAAAGATTAGGTTACCATATACTGATGGTTTCATCTCTGGTATCTCAGATCTATCCCAGATATTGATGCTTCTGTTCTTGTGCCAATACCAGGCTGATTTAATTATTATTGCTTTATAGTACAGCTTGAAGTCAGGAAGACTGATGCCTCCCAGTTTGTTCTTTTGACTTAAGATTGCTTTGGCTATACAAGGTTTTTTCTGGTTCCATACAAAGTGAAGAATTATATTTTCTAGATCTGTAAAGAATGCTGGGGGTATTTTGATGGGGATTGCATTGATTCTGTAGATCACTTTAGGTAATATTGACATTTTAACGATATTGATTCTACCAATCCATGAACAAGGTTGATTTTTCCATCTGTTTAAATCATCTGCAATTTTTTTTTAGTGTTTTGTAGTTCTACTTGTATAAATCTGTGGTATCTTTTGTTAAGTATACTTCTAGATATTTAATTTTCTTTGGGGCTATAGTAAAGGGTATTGCATTTTTGATTTTAGTTTCTGCTTGATGGTTCTTGGCATATATGAATGCTTCTGATTTGTGTATATTGATTTTATAACCTGAGACTTTACCAAATTCATTTATCAAATCTAGGATTCTCTTGGATGAATCCATGGGGTTTTCTAGGTATAATATCATATTATCAGCAAAGAGTGAGAGTTTGATCTCATCTGGCCCACTTGGATGCCCTTAATTCCCCTCCCTTGCCTGATTGCTATAGCTAGGACTTCGAGCACCATGTTGAATATGAGAGGAGATAGTGGGCATCCTTGTCTAGTTCCGGTTCAAAGAGGGAATGATTTCAATTTTTCCCCATTTAGAATGATATTAGCAGTGGGTTTGTCATAAATGGATTTGATAAATTTAAGATATGAGCCATCTATGCCTATTGTTAAGAGTTTTTATCCTAAAGGTGTGTTGGACTTTGTCAAATGCTTTTTCTTCATTTATTGACAGAATCATAAGGTCTTTGTTCTTGATTTTATTTATGAAGTGAATTGCATTTATAGACTTGCGTATGTTGAACCAGCCTTACACCCCTGGAATAAAGCCCACCTGGTCATGGTGAATTATTGTTTTGATGTGCTGCTGAATTCTATTTGCTAAAATTTTACTTAGGATTTGTGCATCTATATTCATGAGAGTTATTGGTCTGTAATTTTCTTTTTTTGTTGCTTCCTTTCCTGGCTTTGATATCAAGGTGATATTGGCTTCATGGAATGAGTTAGGAAGTATACCATCCTTCTCAATGGTGTGGAATAGTTTCTGTAGTATAGATATGAGTTCATCTTTGTATGTTTGGTAGAACTCTAAAGTGTAGCCATCTGGCCCAGGACTTTTCCATTTGGGAAGGTTTTTAATTACTGCTCCAATTTCTGAGCTTGAGATTAGTCTGTTCAAGAATTCTGTTTCCTCCTCGGTGAACTTAGGGAGGTTGTATGAATCAAGGAATTTGTCCATTTTGTCTTCGTTCAGTAGTTTTTGGGCATATAGTTTTTTATAGTAGTCAAATACAATGTTTTGTATTTTTGTGGTGTCTGTTGTGATCTCTCCTTTTTCATTTCTTTTTTTTTTTTTTTTTTTTGAGACAGAGTCTCACTTTGTTGTCCAGGCTAGAGTGAGTGCCGTGGCGTCAGCCTAGCTCACAGCAACCTCAAACTCCTGGGCTCGAGTGATCCTTCTGCCTCAGGCTCCCGAGTAGCTGGGACTACAGGCATGCGCCACTATGCCCGGCTAATTTTTTTTTTTTATATATATCAGTTGGCCAATTAATTTCTTTCTGTTTATAGTAGAGACGGGGTCTCGCTCTTGCTCAGGCTGGTTTCGAACTCCTGACCTTGAGCAATCCGCCCGCCTCGCCTCCCAAGAGCTAGGATTACAGGCGTGAGCCACAGCGCCCGGCCCTTTTTCATTTCTTATTGAGTCTATTAGAGTTCTTTCCATTTGAGTCCTTGTCAGCCTATCAAGAGGGCCATCAATTTTGTTTATCTTTTTGAAAAACCAGCTTCTGGTTTTGTTGATCTTTAGTATAGTTCTTTTGTTCTCCATTTCATTAAGTTCTGCTTTGATCTTCGTTATTTCTTTTCTTCTACTAGGATTGGAAATTGTTTGTTCTTTTTCCAATTCCTTAAACCTATTCATTATGTTGTCAGTATCTAAGCTTTCTGTTTTTTGGATGTGAGCATTAATCGCTATTAGTTTTCCTCTCATGTAA